CCGGGCGGCAGCGCCAGCGGCAGCGCCGGGGTCAAGCGTCGGCGAGGACAGGCGGCGGATCGACTGGGGCTGCGGAGGCTCGCCGCCCGCCGGCACACGCCCCGCCACGCCCCGCCCCGCCAACGCGAGGGTACCTGAGGCCCGGGGCAACCTCGCCGATATCCTCCGCCCCCACGCCGCCAAGGAAAAGCAAACCGCGACCAAAGAATTCGACGCACGTCCACCGGGTCCAGGTCAGGCAGACAGGCCCCTTCCCTTCCCCCCACGACGTCCCTTCCTCTTCTTTCCCCTCCCTTCCCTGAGCGACCGTCAACCGGTCGCTGGCTGCAAAAGTAGGGCAAGAGGCGGACGACCGACGAGACCTCCCCAAACACCAAGCGGGGGTTGGTTTTGGTTGTGGGTTCGGAAAAAAGTGACCATTTCATGGTTACATTTTGTCACAGTGTGTTTATTTGTGTACCACCACCAAGGTCACGAAAGGCGCGTAGTTAACTTCTCGCCCCGACCTCTAAGCGGCCGGGCTCTCCCTTCTTCGGCACCTGTAAGCACTTCCCCCCTCCCCCCTCTCCTTCCCTTCTCGCCGCGCCTACGCTAGGCCGGGCCTTTCGAGCAGCACTGACCTAATTGCAGTGGGTAATTGAGGCTATTTGTTTGTCCGACACCCATTGTGAGCCCGGCAGTAGCAGTGCCGGGCCAGAGGCCGGGTGGCGGCAGTGCTGCTCGGCGGACAGAAAACAAAGTGAAGTCTCTGCGCTGCGCTTCTCTCTGTCCGTCTCTGAGGATGCCTTCTCTCTCCCCTTCGTCGCTCTCTCTCTCTCTCTCTCTCTCTCTGTTGGACGAGGAAAGTAGTAATAAGTAGTAGATGTCCGCTGCTGCGCCGCGTGGAACTTTACTTGTCGCGGAATGCGAAGAGCCGAGAGCAGCGGCCCCCAACTCCAGAGCAGCAGCAGCACTTGTTCTGCCGAGCAGGCCAAATGTCTCGGAAAAGAGCCTCTCATCGAGTCTGGCGACTGGTAAGAACGCCATTTACTCGTACACATGGAGGCACAAATGTGTGAATTTTGAAAGGAAAATCCACACATTTTACTCGTTGAATTGTTGTACTAATGTGCCCTCACACACCTGAAAGTGTGCGACATTCACTCACACTTGTGTGCGTTTTCATTGGACAAAACTGACCCGGTCCTAGTGGGGCACGTCGTTGTAGGCCTGTGGGGTAGCAGGCCCACCCCGCCCCACCCCGCCCTGCCCTGCCCCTGGCCACGACCCATTACGGACAGGTACATTTTTCATGGCTAATCCGTTGCGTGCGCCGCGGCGCTTACCGGCCCCTTTGGCTCTATCGGCCGCGACATGACGGGCGCGGTGACATCCCTCCCCGCCATGCCGAGGGGAAAGGGGCGGAGGGGGAGGGGGCTTGTAGGCGGCGGAGGAATAAATCTGAGATTGCGTTTGTGCCAGCGCCAGCGCTAGCAGCAGCAGCGGTGGCAGCGGCGGCGGCCACCTCGTCTGAGATATGGGCGTCGTGCGTCAGGCCGCAGGGGTAGCAGGCAACCCGTCCGACATACGGCCGGGGCCGCCAGGCCTGTGAGCCCCTGGGCCGCCTGCTGCTGCTGTCATATCGCGCGCCCCACATCTAGACCATCACGCTGCCGCCGCCGCCACCACTGCTGCTGCTGCTGCAGTTCTTTCCCGGCGTTTGTCTGTGCTTCGCCCGCACATCCCTCCTACTGTCCCCTGCTGCTGCTGCTCGCATCCTTGTCTCTCTCCCTCCATCTCGTGAGTTGCGTCCTCTCTCTCTCTCTCTCTCTCTCTCTCTCTCTCTCTCTCTCTCTCTCTCTCTCTCTCTCTCTTTCCGGCCTGTCGCTGCGCCGTGGAGAAATGGTCCCCCGCGACGCTGACGTAAAAGTCGCGCGTTGGTTGGTGGTTGGTGTGCGCTGCTCTTCTGGGGGAGAGGCGCCGTCCGTCGGACATGTGACGTACGTAACGCCGCGGGTACGGAAAACTGTCGAGGGAAGGGTTCGTTCGGAGAGAGTTGCTGCCTCTGCTGCTGCTGCCACCCAGAAAAAGATTTCTTTCGAAAATACAAAATAACTCGCGAAAAAACGTCCGCAGTGATGACACGACGCCAAGGGGGGGAAATAACCGTACTGAGTAAAAGACTCTCCCGCCCATCTCTCCCTCCTCCCTGTGTGCGCGCGGGCCGCTCGCGCTGTGTGTGAGCAGCCTTAATCGTCGGGTGTTTAGCGAGGCGTTTTAGTGGCGGGGCCTGGCCTGGTTGGAGAAGGGGGAAAGGGGGGGGGGGCAGAAGGATCTTTGACGCCGTGATTTATGTTTCGGTGGCATCCATTATGCAAGCACCTCCCTTCTCCTCCTCCCTCTCTGTCTCTCTCTCTCTCTCTCTCTCTCTCTCTCTCTCTCTTCTAACTCCCTCTTCCTCTCTCCCTCTCTTTCCGCCACTCTGCTGGGCCGTTGCTGCCAAAGGCGCCGGCGCCAGCAAAAACCGAGGCTATGAGGGGGGGCTAGGCAGGCAGGCAGACAGTGGCGGACCGAGGAGAGAAACGGTCAGATGAGAGAGAGCAGAGGCCCACAAGGACAGAGCAAGGAGGCTCAGAGTGAGCGAGAGCAAGAGAGAGAGAGAGAGAAGAGTGAGTGAGTGGGGGGTAAAGCCGAGGTTTACATAGGCCGTTGCGCTTGCTCCCAGTTCCAGGAGGGGGGTAGGAGGTAAGGGGGGGGGGGTTGACCGAGAGGGCGCCCCCGTAATGATCTGCCGGGATTATATCCCCCCGCTGGCCGAGGCGCGCCGCGCCTGATTAGGCTCCATTACTGCTCTCAGCAAATTCAATGGTCTCCTTCCTTCTCCCCCCCCCCTCCCTCCACCCCGCCGCTGGTCCGGCCCATGGTCCGGCCCGGTCCGGCCGAGGGGTGCGAAAAAAGGGGTGGCTTGGCTACTGATGATGTTGAGCGCGCCGGCCGGCCAGCCAGCCAAGGCCGCTCGCGCAGACACTCGGTGGCGAGTGGGCTGCTCTAGTGTGGCTGTGTGTAGGTGGGAAAGGGTCGGGGTTTATTGCTGAGCGAAGCGAAGCTCTCCGGAACAGTGGACCGAGCTCTCCTGTGGACCTGGCGTGTCGTTGGTCGTGAGTCTGTCTGTCTGTCCGTGAGAAGCAACCACAACTCTTTTGCTGTAGCGAATATCGCTAAAAGTGAATATGTTTTGGGATGTTCAAATTCTGAGTGTGTTTTATCACTAAAGGATATTGCGATTGATTGCGTTTGAAATATTTCGTATTTTGTTGAAATTAAAAGTTCAACAGTTGGCAGCAGTTCGCCGCCTCGGCGCAGTGTGGCCAGTCGCCGCTAGGT